CCAGCACCCTGTGCAGGATCCATACCTGGCCTGAGCACAGCCCCTGAGCACCCCTGTTTCCCCACCAGACCTCAGACCTTCTCTGGCAGGGCTCATCTTCCATTGCTCTAAATGAGAGGGGGGCCGCACCTGATCTGCCTTCATGGCGTTGATTCTAGCAGGCTCACTACCTCTGGGGGCAGGAGAATCATCTATAAAGAGATTGGAAGTACACCTGCCTGACATCTTGGGTCCTCAGGCTGAGGCGGGCCCTAGGGAGCTGTGTCATTACCCTGCATGGCTTATAGAGAGACAGTAACTTGGGGGCTGCTTTGGGAAGTGAGGGCCTTCCCCCAGGCCCCTGCTCTGAGCAGGATGAACAGGTTTCTGCATGACTGGAGAGCCCCACTCTCCTCATTCACTTCCAGCGGCAGCTCTCAACTCCTCACGGGAGTCGCTGGGGAGCTTTAAACTACTGAAACCACCTCCACTCCTACCCCACCCCCACCCCCCTGTGGATGTCATTCGTTCAGATTATGACCCAGGTACTGATCGTTTTTAGAAGCTACCCTGGTGATTCTAGCAAGCAGCCAGAGTTGAGCACAATTGGTTTGTGGCGAGCAGCTGGGTGGAGGTGGGGACTTGGCCCTGTGTTAGGCACTTTTCACCTATGGCCTCATGTGGTGGGTGCAAACCAGGGGCTCCCCTTCATTCCTCAGCTGCCTGCCCTCCCACTGCACACAGGTGCCCACCACAGAGGGTTGAATAGACTCCGAGAGGACAGGGCCCGCCCCAAAACAGGGTATGCAGAGATCCCACCCCGCGCAGCTCCAGGCCCCAGAAGGCCTGGCCTGGGCACGCTGGTGCGGAGCTACTCCCTGGCACCTAGGGAAACTTGACCTCCTCTGAGCTCCCTCCTGCGGCGGCCCATCTGCAGGTCCTCTTGGTGGGTCTTCCTTCAGCTGCCCCAGCCTGTGCATCCACACCTGGCGTACCTCCCGGGCCTGGCGGCCTGGCCCCACTCCACCCAGCAGCCACTTCTGGGCCATTCCCCAGCTCGTTTCATTCAACTGCTCTGGCCACCCTTCATTTCCTGGAACACACCAAAGTCTCCTCTGCCTCCCAGACTTGGCATTTGCTCTTCTGTCTGGACTGCTTGCCCCCAGCCATCCCAAGGTCTTGCTGCAATCATCAGCTCCTCACAGGGCACTCCTGACTGCTCAGTCGACCAGGGGCCTGTCCTTCAGCCCCTCTCACACCACAGCAGAGATTGTCCTCATTGCACCTGGGCGGCAGTTTTGTTCATTGGTTTCTTACTGCTTTGTCATCCAACTTGCCCACTGGAATGTGACATTCATTGAGGCATGAACTGTCCTTCATGATCATCATCAAACCCCCGGCCAGTCTGGCATGGGGCTTGACACATAGTAGGTGCTCAGTTAATACTTGTCGACTCATTGATGAGAACCGGAGGGGGAGCAAGCCTGGGAAAGGAGGCAGTGGCCATCTGGGGGGCTTGTGACTTCCTGGGTGACATTGGCAGGTGCGGGACATGGTGGTTGAGGAGGCCACCCAGGAAGAATGTATGACTGAGACAGGAGCCAAAGGTGGAACCTTGGGGGCCATCTCGATGGGATGGGTAGAAGACTAGGAGCTTGAGGAGGGACCGTTGGGGAGAAAGAAAACCTGGCATTATCACATCCTGGAGGAGGAGGCACCTGTCTGTGGGGCGGCACCTGACAGTTATGGCCTCGGTGAAGGCAGTGCTGGAAGTCTGCATCGACCACCCTGGGAGCCCGGCCAGGGCCACCGAGCACCAGGGAGGTGAGGAATCAGGAAGTGGGGCTGGGTAGGACCCATGTTTATATGCTGCCAGGAGCCAGCTGAGGCTGAGACACAGGAGCACGGCCTGGGCATGCGTCTTCATCAGCGTCTGGTGTTCCCTGGCAGGGCTTAGGCCATCTGTGCCACGGGCAAAGGTGACAGGTGGTCCAGGACTGGGATTGGCCTTGCAGGAAGAGCAGAAAGACAAGAAGACCTGAGCGTGTGTCAACCAGAGGCAGAGGAGCCCCTTTGGGGGCCGGGCCATTGAGTTTCCTGGCCTGGGCAGGTGACAGATGGGCAGAGCGGGATCGGAGAGCAGGTGTTTGGGAGTAAAAATCCCAGCAAGCCTGTAGTTCAGTCAGGAATCCATACCACGGACCTTCTGCATTCTCAGCTTTAACATTTGTAGTCTGGACCGTTAGCAAGGGCCCTAAAGTTCCCAGCCTGGCACCGACTATAGTCGTTGCCCTCTTTTCTGAACTTCTGAGTCTGACTCGCCTGCCAGATGGGTCCCGGCCCCACAGCCCTGCTGCTCTGGGGTCCTCACTGCCCACGGTTTAGGAGCGAAGTCTCTCAGACCTGTGGAGTTTCATTAGAAGTTTGGGTGTGGGGGCGCCTGGGTGGCTCAGTCAGTTAAGCATCCGACTCTTGATTTCAGCTCAGGTCAAGATCTCAGGGTCCTGAGATCGAGCCCTGCATTGGGCTCCAAGCTCAGTATGGAGTCTGCTTGTCCCTCTCCGTGTCCCCCCCCCCCCGCTTGCTGTCATGTATTTGCTCTCTTTCTCTCAAATAATAAATAAAATCTTAAAAAAAAAAAGTTTGGGTGTGGAGGGTCAGGTTTGGGTTTTGTTTCTTTAAAAAAGAAAGTGGCCCAATCAGAACTGCACATAGTTTGTGTAGCTACTCTGCCCTGAAGGAGGGAGAGTATATCTCCACAAGGCACTCCTTTGGTATGGGCTGTGCACTGACTTCCTTCCAGAGCCTACAGTTTGGGGGGAGGGGTGACTTGACAGTGGAGAACCCTGGCAAACCCACGGCCTTGGCTAGGGGATCCAGGCGAGCATTAGCAGTGATAAGTCAGGGTGACAGCACACACCCCCCCATAGGATGTCAGGAGGGCACTTTACTCTGGGCTCTTCCTCACAAAACCCAACACCCCAGCCTTATCATGGAAAAACATCTGACGAACCCACGCTGCAGGAGATTCTACCAAATTCCTGACCAGTCCTCCTTGAAACTCTCAAGGTCATCAAAAACAAGGAAAGTCCGAGAAGCTGTCCCAGCCAAGAGCAGCCTAAGGAGATGTGACGACTACATGTCCTGTGGGGTCCTGGATGACCTCCTGGGACAGAAAGGGCCGTTGGGGGAAAAACTAAGGCAATCTGAATCAAGTGTGGACTGTGGTTAACTAACAACATATCAGTCCTGGTTGCTGAATTGCAACAAATGTCCCATTCTGGTGTAAAATGTTACCAATAGGGGAAATGGGGTGTAGGGTCTATGGGAATTATCTTTATTATCTTTGTAACTTTAAATCTAAAAAAATAAAGGGTTTTTTTTTGTTTTTGTTTTAAGAAAGTGGCAAAACTGGGTTAGACTCTACTGGGTTCCATATCTCGTTATCTACCAGAGGGCGTGGGTTCATCTGGCACCCAGGGACCTCTGCCTCATGTGGCTGAAGGCCTGGTGTTTTTTACCTGCTTGTTGTCGCCCTCCAGCAACCAGAGGAATGGAGCGAAGCTCACCGCTCTATCTCTGTGCCCAGAGCAGTGCCCAGCACTCAGTGGCTGCCCCCTAGCATGGCACGTGGATGGGTAAGGGTGGGCATGTTGGTTCTCTTCTCTGGGCCTCCTCCTGCTCCTCCTGTAGTGAAAGGACAAAGCTCCTTCTGCTCGGCACCTCAGCCTTTGCTTCTCTCTGGGCCTCCTGGGAACCCACCACCCCACCCCTCTTAGGCTGAGTCCCTCCCGTGGCATGCTGTTGGTGGTCACCCTCATCACTTGAATATATCACCAAGGAGAGGTGGGGAGACCTACTTGTAACCCTGGTTGTCTTCATAGTAATCTGTACCACCACCACCCCCGCCCCCAGACTCCAGCTGCTGCCGCCAGGGGAAATCCTAGAGGCTTGACCAGAGCTGTAAAGGCAGGCACTCGGCTGGCCTGGGACGTCTCTCAGCTCCAGCTTCTCCCCGAGCTCCCTGTCGTCTGCCTTGTAGCTGAGTTGTAGGTTTGGGAAAGTGAGGGACCCAACACTGGGTGGCACCAGAGCCCAGCAAGTCTTCCCACTCTGGGGCTCAAGTGGTGGAAAAACACCTGGATGCAGACAGCCGGTCACCATTCGGCCCTCCCCACCTGCCTGTCTTGACCAGTTGTGACTGCCCTCTCCTTACCCTTGGGGCCCCCTCATCTCAGCCGGCAGACAGCAGGACTGATCATCATCATTGCTTTGGTGATGGCGTCTACAGGGTGCCGTTAGTAACACAGTGTTTCTTCCTTTTTTTAAAAGATTTTATTTATTTATTTGAGAGAGAGTGCGTGCACAGAAGCAGAGGGGGAACGAGAGGGAAAGGGAGAGAATCCCACGCAGACTCCACGCTGAGTATGGAGCCCAAAGTAGGGCTTGACGTGGGGCTCGATCTCACGACCCTGAGATCATGACCTGAGTTGAAATCAAGAGTTGGACGCTTAACTGACTGAGCCATCCAAGCACCCGCATAGTGTTTCTTTTTAAACAGCCCTTTTTGGGGGCGCCTGGGTGGCTCAGTCGTTGGGCATCTGCCTTCAGCTCAGGTCATGATCCCAGGGTCCTGGGATCGAGCCCCGGCATCGGGTTCCCTGATCTGAAGGAGACCTGCTTCTCCCTCTCTCACTCTCCCTGCTTGTGTTCCCTCTCTCGCTGTGTCTCCCTCTGTCAAATAAATAAATAAAATCTTCTAAAAAAAAAAAATGAAAAAAACCAGCCCCTTTAAAAAAAAAAATGAACAAAGGTAACATTTGTTCATTGTAGAAAATTTACAAGTTTGCCGAAAAGCGTAACAAAAAACCAGTATAGATTGTGACCACCGGTCTCTGAGCCCACTTCCCAGAGGCCATGGCTTTTTGCGACCTCATCCTCCTGAACCCGGTTGGTCATCGTCCTGTTCACCGTCCTGGCTCTCGGCCGGCTGATCATTGTGCACGCGTTCTCCCACACAGGGCACAGCTTGGGCTACGGCTTTGTGAACTACGTGACTGCCAAGGACGCCGAGAGAGCGATCAACACCCTGAATGGCCTGCGGCTCCAGTCAAAAACCATTAAGGTAAAGAGCTGCCATCGCCACCTTGGCCCCGGCCAAGGCGACCTCCCCTTACCTCACCCGGCTGAGGGGTCTCCCCCTTACTTCATCATCACTCTTGAGGGAACCACTCCTCAGAGCCCTGGTGCCTTAGGGGCGTCTGATGGAGCTGAAGCAGTGCCTGTCAGACGCATGTTGGGCAGGGACCGCCCTGGACCATGCTGGTGCCTCTCAGCCACCTCAGCTCTACGAGCAAAGGGACGGTCACCAGGAAGGGCACTTACATGAGGGCAGTCCCCTCCCGGGCCCAGGGTGTGCCTTCTTCATGCCAAGCAAGTGTTTGTGCAGCCTTGCCCTCCCTGCCCCATCATGGCTGGGTCACTCATCCGTCCGGCAGGTGTTTACGGAGCCCCTGCTGGGTGTCAGAGAACAGATGAGTTCTCTGTCTTCATGGCGGGGCCTGTGTGTGTGTGTGTATACATGCACGTGCACACACATGTTCAAATCATACCCCCAAGATCTGAAAGTCACGCATGGCAGAGGTACAGGGCCAGGGGACGTTCTGTGGGGTGGCTTCATGTTGACCAGTGGCTTGAGCAAAGCAAGGAGCTGTGCAGCGCAGCCAGCGGGGGGGCGGGGGGGGGGGGGGGGGGGGGGGCTCAGGCAGAATGCCACCAGAGTCACTCCAATTCAAGGGCTGTGGCAGCTTCCTGGGACGAGTTGGCAAGTCCTTCAGGCCTCACAGGATGGCTTCGTGTTCTCAGCCTGCTCTCACTTACCACCCCCTCCTTTTCTCAGCCCCAAGCCCTGCCTCCTCCCCATCCCCATCCCCATGTGTCTGTTTGCAGGCTTCTATGATCCTGGGCAGCTCCAGACCCAGTCCGGGACAAACTGTGTGTGTTCCTGACCTTTACTCCCTACTGAGCCCTCCTTTAAAATATGTGTCCTCCCATTGCCCCAGGCTGGTCCCTTGACCTAGCTTCCTGCAGCAGCTTGGCAGGCACCATGCCTGCCTGCATGGTCTCCCTCGACAGGAAGCCACTTGGAATGAGACTGCCCTCTCTCAGCCTTTGGTGGACCTGCCAGATCCTCCCACCCCATCTCCCATCACTCTGATTCATGTGGGTGCCCAGAAAGGTCCCTCTTGGGACCTCTACCATGGCTGGGCTTCCCAAGCTCCCCTGGGCATCAGAACCATGTGGGGTGCTTGTATAATAAAGGTTCCCAGGGTTGCAGCTTGGGCCTCCCAAGTCACACTTTGGGGTGGTCCTGGGAGCCCATATTCCCATCTGCTAGGGAAGTCTTATAGTCTGGCTGTTGAGGGCGCTGTTCCGTGTCTGCTGTTGAACTGTTCGTGATATGGATTGCTCGGTGATTCAATCATCCCCAAACCCATGGAAACACTCCTCAGCAGACTTCCTGGGCCTGTGTGCACATAGACCCTATCATGTGCTCCCTGAGGACAGGAGCGCAGCTCATGTATCTCTGTGGCTAGCTCAGACTCCCAGAGGGGCCTTCCTCTGTGGGGGCTGGTGAAGGAAACCACATATTACGGCCTTTCCACATGTCAGGTTACTGGTTCCTCTCCACCAGCTCCAGGTTGTTTATTCTCAGCCCAAAGCTCCCAGTCTGTTAGGAATTATCTTCTGCATTTAGAAAATGTTTGCAGATGCCAGGAGAGCAGACAGTTATTCAAATAGATGCAGAAAATTCATCGTTATACAACAAGTATGTTCTAGGAGCCACGTCCTCTGCCTGGTGCTGGGTTCCATGGCCCATGGCTGCCCTCAGATAGCCCGCTTGTTAACACAGATGTTAATTCCGAGACCACTATCTGATCGGACCTGGGATGGCCTTCTCCCAACTTGGGGAGCACCAGAGAGGTTCCCTCAAAGAAAGTCAGAATTGAGATCTGGGGGATGAGGAGTTAGGGGTAGGGAGGGCCAGGGTGGGGACACAGGGGGCTCCTCGGCAGAGGTGTTTGCAGGAGCCAAAGTGTACCTCTTGTGGTGGGGTAGAAGGCAAGAGTGGCCACGCTGGAGGAGACTCAGTGGCCGGCACATTGTGGCAACTGCAGGTTATCCCCAAGGTTGAAGCCCCACTTCTCACCACAAAGGCAGGACCTTTCCAAAGGCTCGTCTGCCCCCCAGGCTCTGAGGTCCTGCACCCCACAGCTCACCTGGCTGTGCCCTGGACCTCACCAGCGTTTGCTCTGTCCTCTTTGGTTCTAATGTCATTCATTGATCCGAGTAGGGAGTGTGGAGTCTCCCTGTCCCTGTGTCCTGTAACAACAGCACAGGCAACCCCAGTGAGGGGGCGTGTGCAGAGGCAACAGGCTGAGTGGGGCACAGGCCCCAGTCCTGTGTCATTTCCTGGCCAACACCTGTCGAGGGCTTATAGTGGGCCGGGTCCTTCCATACCTTGTCTCTGTTTTCCTCACCACAGCCTGGGAGAGATGATCCCCAATTTAGGCTTGAAGAAGCTGATGTTTCCCCTAGTGACAGGTCTCCCAAGGTCACAGAGGTAGAGAGGGGCAAAGCCAGGGTTTGAAACAGGTGCTGTGGCTCTGGGCGCTTGACACCCCACTGCCAGGCCGCTTCCCCAGCTCAACGTGGGAGATAAACACCAGGAACCAGAACGTTTGACTAGCTGTGAACAGAGCCCAGGAGACGGCAGTGCAGGTGGGCAGGCATTATTAGTAATAACAGCAACTGCTTTGGTCCCCTCGTTCAGCAGTGGCTCACTGCCTGCTTGCTGTCCACCTGCATCTGTTCTAGGTGCTGGTGATACCACAGCAAACACAAAAGTTTTGCCCTCATCAAGTGTTCTACATGGTTAAATAAGTAAGAGATAGAGTATGTCAGATCAAGATGCGTGCAGTGGAGAAACTTCCCCGGGGGAAGGGGGCCGGGCACTGCTTGTGGGCGGAGGGGCTCCGTGGCCAGTCAGGTGGTCGGGGAAGTGGAGTTTCTCAGGGCTGCCACCACAAAGCACCACAAATGGTGTTTGTGGTTGGGGAGTGTCAAACAACTGAAATTTGTTCTCATGGTTCTGGAGGCTGTAAGTCCAAGATCAAGGTGTGGGCAGATTGGTTCCTTCCCGGGCCGTGAGGGACAATCTGTCCCGGGTGCTTCTCTGGCTTGGGGGGTCGCTGGCCGTCTCTGGTGCTTCTGGGCTCAGGGAAGCCTCACCTGGACGTCTGCCTTCATCTTCACATGGCATTGACCCTGTGTGTGTCTCTGGCCAGTCTCCCCCTTTTTGCTGAGGACACAGTTATTGGGTTTGAGGCCCACCCTGCTCCAGTGTGACCTCATCTTCATGAATGACATCTGCGACGACCCTCTTTCCCAATAAGGTCACACTCTGCAGTGCTGGGGGTTAGCACTGCAACATAGGAATATGTTCAGCCCTTCATAGGAAGGTTTCTGGAGAACATGACAGGAAAAGACCTGCGTGGGGCGAAGGAGCCGGTGATGCCAAGAGTTGAGAGAGGTTCTGGACCTTGCGTCATGGAGCTTATTGGGTGCTAGGTGTTCTGGTGCAGTCTCCTTGGATGCTGACCTGACTCTGAACTTGATAGTGGTTGAAGAGAAGGAAAGCTATGGTGGTTGCCATGGGCCCTGAAGAACCTGTTGTTGAAAGGAATCGAAGCACGTTCGGCTGTCAAAGGCATCTTCCCTCTGGGACTTCATCGGGGGACGATCATAGTCCGTACCAGCCTCTGCGCCGCTTCTCCGGGGCCAGGGTCTTGGTCTGGAGATGCTCTTTGCCACCGTGTCCTTCATTAAAAGCCAAGGCTGACCCCAGATGCAGCCCCATCCAGGCAAATCTGCAAAGGCCAGACCAGACAGTTCTGGGAGGCACTCCCTGTGGACCCAGCACAGAAGAACAGCCAGAGTCCTGGCAGGCCTGCCCTCCCCCTTCAGCCCTCCTGCCCAAAACAGCACCACTGCCTGGGGCCTTTGGTAAAATGGGACAGCCATCTGGCTAGGGTTTGAATGCGGGTGGGTTCTGCAGGGTGGTTGATGCAGACCTGGAGAGTTTAGGCCCATATGTGTGAGAGAGCGTTGACACCATTCTTTGGAAGTCGAGGAGTGTGACCAAGCTCCAGTGAACTGGCCAGCCACCGCCTCAGTGGGGAAGGGTGCTGGGGAGTCCCTGCAGGCCAGGGTGGCCTCTATCTCAGGGGACAGTGCCACGTCTGCCCCAGGCCTTGGGTGCATCACTGAGTGACCACAGCGTTCCTGTACTGTAGGCCTAACCAAGGTGCCTTGGGCCTGGACACAGCACGGGAAGCTTCCAGGAAATGTGGAACTTGTGCAGCACTTGGAGGCCACCAGCCCCTGACGGGACCTGGTGCCCTGGGGCATCCTTCTAGTCAGGGCCACTTCTGTTCCATTGTCGTCTGACGTCCAGCCTCCATGATCCTTGGTGCCTCTGGCGGGGGGGAGGCTGGGCTCTGACCACAAACACGATTTCTCTTTCCTTCTCCATCGCCTGCTGGACTGCTTTCTGCTCTGCTGGCAAAGGTTGTATCTGTCGTCCCCTCTTAGGGCATGACGTGGGTTCGGAGTCAGCAAGCGCATGAGTGAAGGGGTGTGTGTGTGCTTGGCCTGAGGAACCACACCTGTGCCCCTCCTGGCAGGCCTGAGCGTTGTGGTGAGAACACACCTGTTGTCCGTGGCCTCGTGCTGCCCAGTGACACCTGAAAGGTTGTGTCTGCTCCTGGGTTATGGTTTCAGGCTCCTTGTCCTCTCAGCTTTGTGACCCTCAGCATGTCATTTGGCATAGGTCCAAGTCCCCCCACCCTTCCAGCGCCCCCTTCCCAGCCTCCTTCTCATGTCCCAGCCTCCTAACTCGTTCAGACTTGGTTCTGACACTCAGGTGTGATCAAGTCCCTTCCCTCCAGGCCTCCCCTTTGCAGGCGCAGGGGCCCTGTCCCAGCTGCTCCTTCCCAACAGGGGTGTTGGCCTCAGTCCCATCCCTCCTCCTGGCCAGCCACGGCGGTGGCCCTGACCTGGGAAAGCATGAAGGCCTGCCTGGCCACTGGCCCCTGAAGCCTCCCTGCTCCAGGGCACACACAGACCACTTTATCGAAGCCACTGCAAAAGTTCCTTGCAGGCTTTCTTCAGTTTTACAAAACAAAGACCCCAAAAGCATGGAGTCATTTAATATCGAACACTCGAGTGTTGGACTGCAGGCTCCCCCATCAGCCCTGGGTCCCCCCCTGGGCTCCAGTGGCAAGTTGGCCTGCGGGTAGGTGGGTGGCGCCCTTCCAGTGGCGCCCAGCTCCAGAGCCACTACCCTTCGAAGGCTCCTCGCAGGCAGCACTGGGTCCTGTCCCCAGGCTGCTCACTGTCAGAGAAGGTGCGGCCACGGTAGAAGAGACAGCTGGGTTGAGTGGCGGCCCTGTCTGCCACCAGCTGTGGGCCCTCAGTCTCTTGGCTTTGAGAACTTGGAATATGTCTGTCTCCCTGTGGGGTGTAAAATCCAGGCGAGAAAATGCTAGGGGGTGTCCATCTGGCTCGCTGCTCGGCCCAGGTGAGCTGCTCATACGCGCCGCCACAGGTGATGAGTGTTGGCATGGTTTCTCACCAGAAGGGTGGCTTTTTCTCGCCTGAGAGTTAACCCCACCCCCTGATGTTTTGACCACACACCTGCCCTAACCCCAGAAAGTGGTTTTATCTTCAAGGTGTCGTACGCTCGCCCGAGCTCAGAGGTCATCAAAGACGCCAACCTGTACATCAGTGGGCTCCCGCGGACCATGACCCAGAAGGACGTGGAGGACATGTTCTCTCGGTTTGGGCGAATCATCAACTCCCGGGTCCTTGTGGATCAGACCACAGGTACAGTGGGTGGCCTGGATGCAGGCTGCGGGTCTCCTTTCGGCGGGGGCCAGAGTTTCCAGGAAGACAGGCTGCCGCTTGAGTTTCGAGGACATAGTTATTCCCCTGGGGAGGACAGAATCCAAATGAGAAGACCTTGGCTTTTGTTTTACAAGGGCTGGGGAGGCAAAAGTGGTAGTAAAACCGCCCCGTGCTAGGTCAGCATGTTATGGTGAAAGTACCAAGTGATCCTGGCCCCTTCCTTCAAGCACCCAAATGTCCCAGCTTGGCTTGTGACTGGGTTGGAAAGGCCACCGGTCAGTCGTTCACTGCTGCTCTTGCAGGCACGTGGTATGCAGTGTGGGACAGTCTTCACTCAGATCCAGAGTTCCCACTTTTCACTGAGCCACGGGGTGGCTCTTTCTGAGGAGCCAGTCTCTAGTCTCCATGATTTGGATGCCCGTTCCCCCCCTTGGGTAGCACATTCAAAGCTGAGAGAGCTCAAGGCAGTACTACCCCTCCCTGATGATGCTGGCCCCTTCACCAGCCCCTCTTAGGTCGTTTTAGCCCAGGAGCTTAGCAGCATGGGCTCTGGGCTCTGCAGGAGCCAGTGAGGCACAGCTGAGCTGAGGACGCACCTGCCCCCGGGGAGCAGCCCTGTGCAGGAGGCTGGTGCTGGTCCTCAGCGTGCGGCCTAGGGACTGGAGTCGGGACGCCCGCTGCCCAGCCCTGTGTGTGGCGCTGTGTGGGGAGCGGTGAGCTTGGGCTGCACCTGCACCGGACCCCTCGGTTCTGGTCCCGCCACGAGTGGGAACCTGCTAACACACTGGCAAGGAAGATTTTTGCTCATGGAGCTCAACAAAGCGATTGGAATTCTCTGCGGTTGATTTTCATGTTCTTCCAACACAGTGTGTTCACCACCCCCTTGGCTGTGGTATTAAAGCAAACCCTGGGTAGTTTGGTCACAGGAAGTCCTGACTCTGAGGTGACCTCCCTTCCAAGGGACCAGCAGCACCCCCAGGAGATCCCAGGGAGCAGGTGGGCTGGGCCTTCCTGGCCGTGACAGGTGAGGGTGGAGGTGTGCACACATTTTCCTGTGTCCCCCTGAGCTGTGTGCTTTGGGGTAGGTGGCCTGGCCACCTGCCCTCCCTTCCCCCACCCGCTCTGTGGAAGCTCAGCTCCTCGTATGCTGGCCCTGCTGCCTGGGCTGTAGTGCTAGGCCAAGGCCTGGCCTGGAGAGGAGTCGACAGCTCGAGTCCCAGGGCCGGAGGGGGAGGAGGGCCTTCTGGAGTGTGGTCCACAGGTGCAGCTCACTAGCATTTCACAGGTGCTCTGGGTGGCCCTGTGCCTGGTGCAGACACCTGCTCTGACGCCTGGCTATGCTGGAGGAACTAGACCACACCATGGCCTCTGTTCTGCATCTTTGCCATGGGGTAGGGGTGGGATGGGGTGGGGTAAGGATCCCATTTACTTGGCATCAAGCCCCCCTGATCTGCACCAGGACAGTTTCCTGTGGTCCCTGAAGCTCCCCTTTTACCTTCAAGTGCCAGTTGAGAGAGAACAATCCACTTGGCTGGTCTGTGCACGTGTTTATCCCCAGGCCCACCTGTGTGGGCTGCCTGGGGACCTGGATGGCATGACCATGCTGGCCCACATTCTGCTTCCATGGCCCTCCTTTTCCTCATGCCACATGTCCTGCTTTGCCTCTGTTCATCTCCGTCCAGCCCAGCGTGACCAAGTGGAGCTGGCTCTCTCCAAGAACATCCCTGCCCCGGCCATCTAGCTTTCCCCAGGGGCTCCTGCCACCCTGAGAGAGGTCACTTCTGCAAAGAGTTCCCCTCAGCCATTTGTGGGACATTTTGTCTCCTTTCCCTCTGTAAGACTGCTGTCTCTGGGCAGGGGAGCATCTTGGGATTGGAGGGCTCCAGGCTCGGCTGTGAATTCAGTGTGGCATCCATGGGAGCTTCACTCTCTCGCAGGCATCCCACCAGCCTCTGCTGCTTCAGAGGACGGGACTGTCTTCAGAATCCTTGCAAAGGGTAGGGGGAAGGGAGCCCCCTGTGCACAGCCCTGCCCTAGCCCGGGCTGTTGAATTGGAGAGTTAGAAAGGTGAGCCCCCAGGACTGTAGGTTTCCATTCCCTCCTCTACTCTAGAGGGGGCCACCCAGCGGGGCTTCTCTGCTGGCACCCAGGGAGCCCCGGGGGGCCGGAACAGAGAATAGCATGGTTGGCAGGTTTGCGTGTCCAGTTTGCCTCCATGTGATGTGCCTTGTAGCATGGAAGGCAGGGGGCAGCTCTCTTGAGAAAGCTTAACCTTCTTCGTTGACAGAACTTAATTTTTAAATCTTCTTTGCCTTCTTACCCAGTTTAATTGTGAACTTTATAGCTTACTCATCTGGAAATCATGCCATTCATTGATCTCTGCTCTTGATTCTGAAAACACTAGAGGAAAAAAACCACCACGGGGCCCCCTTCAAAAGGTGTATGTTCATCAGATCATTTAGTGAACATGTTTTCCCTTACGCTGACTTTCCCTTTCTTGGGTTTTCTTCATTTCACTTAGGCAGTTTCCATTTGAAAGTCATTTTACAAAACCGAACAGGGAAACCACACCTGCACATACACTCACTCTCTGCTTGATGGCAAGGTCCTTATCTGTAGAACGGAACTGGCTCCCTGAAGGCAGCCTTCTGCAGGAGCCAGCCAGCTACAGCTGTCGGTTACGTTTGCCTAAGGTTGAATATTCATTCAGGCGTCCGTCTGTCAAAGCTGCCGTTCATGCTGTTCAAGAGCAAATAAAAACAGTGTATGTTGAGTGTGTGGTTTTAGGTGCTCCTTCTGAACTGAAATTGGAAATTGAGTTCAGACTCTAGAATTTTCTGGGTACACATGTGAGTTGCCAGGTCTGTTCTCACTAATTCAGTGTCTCTGGCTGTGTGAATTTTAAATTTATATTTCAACAGTCATGGAGCCAAGGTGGAGGCAGCTTTGAGGCCCCTGGGAGCAGCTGTGTGGTCTCCCGGGGTGCTGTGCTGGGGGGGGGGCGCCAGGAGGGGGGAGTCTCCCAGTTGGAAGAGCTGGGGTGTATGCTTTCAGACTCACCGTGGAGTGTCCACGGTATGTTACAGTTGTCAACAAAGCTTCCTTGGCCCGAGGGTCCCTGGCCGCTGTCTGCTTGCTCAATTGGGGCACAGTAGTGCATCCAAGGCAGGCATGGGATTCTAAGCCCAGAGTGGGCAGCTGTGCCTCTCAGTGCCCATCCTGTGCCCACCGTGGGGCAGTTGGTGGGACTCTGTGGGAAGGGGTGAGGAAAGGTGTGGGAAGTGGGAGCTGCCTGGGGGCATCTGGTGTGCTCACGTAGCTGGTGGCCCAAGGCCCTGCCTGGGCTGTCCTGCGTTTTAATAATTGTCATGCATTGCATGCTGAAGGCCTTTGTGTGGAAAAGAAAATGCGACTTCGGACAGGCTGTGACCGGCAATCGAGTCGAGTATCCGGGATAGGGCTGTCTACCACAGTCCCTCCCCTCCCCCCACTACCACCCCAGTACACATCCATGACTCCTGCCATGACGTCACACTCTGACTGGCCCTTGGCTGTCCCCTCTCCACTGCACTTTGACCTTCACACTCGACCCCCTTTTTTTTCTCCCCAGAGAAGGAGCCGGTCATCTACAGCTCCACATTCCCTCACCCCAACCCCACCCCGTTTGTCAAGTTCTGCAGGGGACAGTTCTTATTCCTCCCAGGCCTAGAATGTAGACAGATCGAGGTGGAGCATGGCTGAACTCCCTTCTGCCCGGTTTGTGAGCTCTCACATTCATTCCAGACCAGACACTGCCTTCAGCAGTTGGGCCTTGGATCTCAGGCAGCCTGGTCCCGGTCCACATTCTTGCTCTGTCGAGAGATTGGGTTATATCAGGGACCCAAGGCTTGACTTCAGCTGGCTCGGTCTAGGTAGCAAGAGGCAGTGCCTTCCCGAGGCAGCTGGAGGCCGGGACAGGGGGCCCTGGGCCTTCCCATGCAGGAGCAGGACGGGTGTGGAGTGCGCCCGAGGCAGGGACCTTAGAATGCAGCATCCAAAAGGTGAGTGAGGTGAAGGCAGGAGGAAAGGGCTGCGGGGTGAGGCTTGTTCACCAGGACTCCGTGCCTTCTGGGGATGACAGGGAAGGAGACGCCCTGCAAAGGACCCACCATCACTCCTTGTTCACAGCGGCCGCTCCCGGGACCTGCTGGCAGGGTTGTGGGGGTGGCGGGGAGCACGGAGTGCAGGGAGGGCCCCTCAGACCCCAGCTCGTCGCCCGCCTGCCCTGCTTCTCGGCCCGGCCGCTCGCCTGCACTTCCATGGGCACCTGGCGTGGAAGGAGCGGTGGCAGGTGCCGTCTCTTCCCACATGGCTTGTTTCGAGAAAGAGGTTTGAGTGTCTGTTTGGGAGATCTGTCAGCAGGATATCGTTCGGCAGAGACTAGCTGCTGCTGCAACTCAGAAGGAATTCTGAAACATTAATCTTTTATCGGTCAGTGTTTTTTTACATTCATTCATTCATTTCCGTATGTAGGTTTAATTTTTGTTTGCCTCATGAAGGTAGCATCCAATTTGAAGCACAGCAGACTGACTGACTTGACTTTTGCTTTTCAGTTTTAAAAATCGTTCCCTTCCCCCCCTAACTCTGTTTCTGTTGGTTTGTTAAAAAGGTTTGTCCAGAGGGGTTGCGTTTATCCGGTTTGACAAACGGTCGGAGGCAGAAGAGGCAATTACCAGTTTCAATGGTCATAAACCCCCAGGTTCCTCCGAGCCCATTACAGTGAAGTTTGCAGCCAACCCCAACCAGAACAAAAACGTGGCGCTGCTCTCCCAGCTGTACCACTCGCCCGCCAGACGGTTCGGAGGCCCCGTTCACCACCAGGCGCAGAGATTCAGGTGGGTCGGGAGGCGGCGCTCTCACCAACCCAGCTCTGTTCCCTGAGGCCCGCCAGGCCCGTGAGGCTGGCTGGTCGGAGTCACTGCATGTCTCCAGGCCCCCACCTCCATCAGAAGGTATCCGTGGGAAAGGATGGTTTGTTTCCATCCGAGTCTCGTCAAAAGTGGAACCAGAAAGGTGGTTCCGTCTGCAGCCGGCCCTGGGGAGGGGAGAGTGCATAGCACTCCAGGGTACGGCGTCTGGTGACCTAAGTGGGGCTGTGAGTGTAAAAGCGGGAAGACGCAGCCTCAGGCGTGCAGAGGTGAGAGCTGTCCCACTCCCGCATGCAGGGAGCCCTTGCTCCTCCACCTCCCTGTGGGTTCGTTTGGATCTCCAAATACCACATGACTTCTGGTTAAAAGCCCTGTCCAGGAAGCAAACGGTTTTCCGACATTGCTTCTGAAAATGACTCCAGTTGCCAGGATGCTGTAGAACAGCGACAATGAGAGTCCGCAGCTTGGGCTCCCAAGTCGGGGGTGTCCCACCTCGTAAGTAACGGCAGTCCCGATGGACGGGCCCCTTGGTTTTGTTTTTGTCAAAACCTATAGCAGTGGCGTGAGGGTTTATCTCAGGTAGGTTAGGGACCTTTTTCTCTACGATTTCGCAGGTTTCCCATCTTTGTTTTAAACGGTGAGGTTGGGTAAAACCCTGCTCGTCGGCGCAGAGGCCATTTGGGAAGGCACTATTTTCAGCACGTAGTAATGGCAGAGTTCTCAACTCGGCTCAGGTTCCAAAGCTGGCCTTCCCTCGTTGGCTTTTCTAGTTTAAGGACAAAGGGAGGGGCAGTGTCTTGGGGCGGAAGTGAGCTCAATCCATTTTGAAGGTCAGCGAACACAGTCTGTGTCACTGCTGATAGGTGGGATGCGTGGACGACCGCATTCAGCGGGTTCCCAGTAACCAGCCAGCCAGGGAAGGAGGGAGGGGCTTTGGTCACAGGAACAAGGAACAGCAAAGAAAGAGGACCAGAGCAGCCAAAACTGCTGGCCGGGCAGGAAAAGGGGTCTCGACAACCAGAGTGGTTCACAGTGAGAAGAGCCGGAGGGCAGTGTGGGTGGCCGGGGAGGCGGGAGGGAAGACCCGCCACCAGAAGGCGGACTCAGTAAGAGGAAGAGAGGCCCAGCCGAGGAGAGAGTTTGCAGTCAGCTCTTCTCACAGCAGGAAGCCTTCCAAATAAAGGAAGGTTCAGCTCTCCTTTGTTACCATCAGAGAAAAGAATGGGAAGGTGGGTTTCATGGTGGTCAGGATGAAAGAAAAGAGCTCCAATGAGCTGGAGAAAAACCAACTAATGCTAATTAATAGGAATGAGGCCTCAGGTTACTTTCAGTACAACAGGTACATGAAGATTCAGGTTAACTATCATAACTCGGGCTCATGTTTGATTTCCCACAAAACGGGCGGGGAACGAGGTCCACTGAAAGAACCTCTTTCCAGTTTTCACTGAAAACTAGCTTGGCTTACTATCACACAGATACAAGGGTGCCTTTTCCCACCCCCACTTCAGTGACATTGTGATCACTGTTCCAGACAGAGTCAAGTCCACTAACAAGCCCCCTGAGTCATTTAACCAACTCAAGCATCCCAGTGCAGGCTGTTGACAAGACTTGTGCACATTCAAAGCCACGGCCAGTCATGTGTCTTGATTCTTCCAAACCCGCATTGAAAAGAATCTCCGGATAAGCAGGCTGCACCTGGGGAGCTGGTCACTCTTGTCTCATGTCTGTCAAAAGAATGAATCTGTTGAATGGCCCTTAAAGGCACCTGCTCACCCCTGGGTCAGCGCCACAGCTCAAAGCCCGATTTTATTTTAGAGCAGGTCATGCTTCTTGGCCCCACGGATGCTATATCACACTCAGATACTCTTAAACTGACACAAAGTCCATTTTTCTGAAACCTTTAGAGGGCCATGTGGCTTCAGCAACAACTTTATCGTCTCCCTTAATTCTGTTGCAATGGCCACACGTTTGTAGAAGGCTTATTTTTTATGCAACTGAAAGTATTGCTTTGGAAAGGGTCCCACATTTTTGGTAGAGCTTGGTGGACTTGCAGTTCACGGCCATCACTTCGGCCCCTGGCCCTTCTGGCATGCTGTGGGTCGGCAGCGGAAGGTGGCTTGGAGCTGTGGGAAGGAATTCCTGGGGCCCTGCATTGGCCCTTTGCAGGGGTGTGCTCACCTGGGACCCCTCTGACAGGGGCAACCAAGATGAGGGCAGGGTACAACATTTGGGGGCAGGGGGAAGAAAGAAAGAAAATCCCCCCCCCCCCCCCCCCTGGCCAAACACGTACACACATACAGAGGCATAGGGTGTGAAGAGTGAGTTTCCTCTAGGGAGATCTGAGGGTGTAATAACACCTAGGAGGATGTGGAGAAGCTACCATCCTTTAAATGTGGGAAGCCTGGGAATGACTAAACAGGACCCCCCCTCCCCCCAGCGATAGAAGGGCTGAAGGGAGCAGCTGGTCACCAACAGGCCATCACTCCAAAGGAAGTTGGTTGAAGCTCTGCCCCTCTGCAGGCGACAAGTGTCTCTCCTCAGGGTCAACTCTCTGCAGAGCAGGGAGCAGCCCCCCCATATTGAATTCCCGTTTGTGACCGATGGGGGTGTGCCAGCCTTGCCCAAGCCATGCCCCCACCTCTGCATCGGCACACCAGCCTGCATGACCTTGACCTGCATGCTGTGCTCTCTGTTTGCTAGGTTCTCCCCTATGGGTGTAGATCACATGAGTGGGCTTTCTGGTGTCAATGTCCCGGGCAACGCGTCTTCGGGCTGGTGCATCTTCATCTACAACCTTGGGCAGGACGCCGATGAGGGGATCCTCTGGCAGATGTTTGGCCCCTTTGGGGCAGTCACCAATGTGAAAGTGATTCGCGACTTCAACACCAACAAGTGCAAAGGCTTTGGCTTTGTGACCATGACAAACTATGAAGAAGCCGCCATGGCCATAGCAAGTCTGAACGGCTACCGCCTGGGGGACAAAATCTTACAGGTTTCCTTCAAAACCAATAAGTCCCACAAATAACTCGCTCATGCTTTTTTTTTTTTTTGTACGGAATAGATAATTAAGAGTGAAGAAGTTGAAACTTTTTTGTTAGTGTACAACTCATTTTGCGCCAATTTTCACAAGTGTTTGTCTTAGTCTAAATGAGAAGTGAAAAGGTTTTTATACTCTGGGATGCAACCGACATGTTCAAATGTTTGAAATCCCACAATGTTAGACCAATTTAAGTTTCTTAAGTTATTTCCTTTAAAATATATATTAAACAGAAATCTAAGTAGACTGCATTGACTAACCAGTCCCTCGGGACGGTGGTGAACCTGAAGCATGCTTTAACTTCTAAGACTGTCTAACACTCGTTTCATTCGGTGTCTCCACAAACTGGATATAAAAAAAAAAAAAAAAAAGACCTTTTTAGTTTTAGTTTTCAAACTAAAGATGTTAGACAGATGCTGAGTGTGCGTTTTCTCAACCGCTTCAACATTTTAAGCGATTTCTGCTTTGGTTAACAGGAAATTGCTTTCCCCAGCAGGTGCCATTGCCACTCCTGCTCACTCAGCCCCGGGGCTCTGCAGCGGTGCCATTTGATGGGGGGGGGGGCCGCCACCGGGGAGGGGGGGCCGCACGCCGGGCCACGCCGGGCCCTCCAGAGAAGGACACGCACAGGTTTTGCAAGCCCAGGCGCCAATGGGAACGGACCAAAGAGTTTCAGGGAAACTCCAGTAGATTTCAGAGTCAGACCTAACTCCAGGCGCGCCTGAAGACGTGCTGCTGATCCTCTGACTTCCCGAATTTCTGTGCACACGTTGCATGCACGGTGCCCCGCACACCGGGCGCTGGTGTTCCCAATCATTTCTCCACTTTTCCCAGAGCAGTTCACACAGCTCGAATGCCTAAGATCGCTCTATATTTTAAGAACACAGAAACATTTGAGCATTGTATTTCTCGCATCCCTTCTCGTGAGCGCTAGACTTGTTTCTATTTTAGTCGGATTTTGTTTTGAAACTTTGCTTTCGTATGAACACTCAGCAGAAAAGTACTTACTTCTTGCCAGTTATCTATTAACAACAAAAAAAAAAACAAAAAAAAACAAAAAAAAAAAACCTTTTGATTTGTAGTTTTAAAGATTAACCCTCCCAAGTTCTCTTCATAACTGCCTTGACATTTTGGGTTGTTCTGTTCTGTTAATTTTCTTTTGCTTTTTTGTGTTTTTTGTTTGTTTTTACTTTTGCATTTAAGACCATTAAATTTGATTTTGTTTTGCTCGAATTTTGTTTTGTTTTTTATTTTACCTTTTCTTTCTTTTTGGCTAGGTAAGGTCCAGACGGCCAGCATTCAGGGAGGATTTATAAAAGATCTTAAGAAACAAAGACTTGCCTCGAGACAAAGCATTTACAGGTCTGTGACGTAGGAGTGTGCAGTCACAGATGGCGTTTTTTAAAACGGGGGAGCCAGTAGGGAGAGTCTGAGAGAGAGAGAGAGAGAGAGAGCGAGCCTGAGAAGTGGCAGGGCCAGACCTCCGGGCAACTCCTCGGGAGTGTGATCTGACTTTTATAAATATCTAGCATTTAGAGAGAATCAAAAACAGGAGAACTTAGTACCAGCAGTTTTTAGCCTTGACATAAGACTAAAACACATAACAATAGGCAGTTTTAGTTGATCGATATCATGGAATTGTGGTATTATTTATCTATTTATCTACCTACCTATTTATTTATTTATTTATTTAAGTGGAAAAAAAAAATTGGGCACAGGCTTCTCCAGAGCAGGTCAGTGTTCTGAGACGCCCCCAGACCGTTTGAGGCTGCCTGTCCCAGCCCCGTTTCCCTCAGAGTTCGCCGAGGGGCTGCCAACTGCTTGCATTATCCTCCCCAACTTGAAATGTTGTCATGCTGTTTTCCCACTGAAGGGGCCAAGTTCATACCTTGAGACCTTCTCATGAGTTGGCCACGTGCCGTGGAGGAACCCCACCCCACCCCCCCGCCCCCTCCTCCAGCGGAAGTTTCCAGATCCTAAGTCAAAGCCCGCTTACGTGCCTCCTCCTGGAGCCCAGAGCCAAGGCCCGTTGGCCTGGATTTGACACAGGAGAGGGCCCCCCCTGCTCTGTCTGCCCCAGAGCGCTCTTCATCACAGACCAGGACGTTCCCCAGGAAGAATATGCCTTTCAGGTTGTGCTAGCCTTGGGCCGGCGTCTCCTCAGTGAAGATGAGATTCCCAGGTCTGAAAGCGACCCTTAGGTCTCTTCCTTGACGCACATTCCTGCCTGCCCTCACTAGCGTTCCGTGTCTTACTTGAATTCGGTTGGAAGCATAAACCGTGAAATGACGGGCTCGGAGCCAGCACCGCCGCTCCTTCCCTCCCCGCCCTGTTATCCGAACCGCATTGATCACTGATGCTGGCACAGAGGAGGAGATAGCCTTTGAGAGTTGCCTGAGGTTTCTCAGTTCAGTAAAATCCTCCTTTTACATGGGCTCCACTCTGAACAGCCTTTCTGGCTAAAACCCCAGCGCGTTGCTTTGGGAGTGTGAATTTGCAAGTGTGTGGAAGGCTTTCGCTTTTGATGTGTTACTTAACCCTGAAAAGCAACTGGCGCTCCCAGGGATGTACCAGGTGCTGGCCCTGTGTCCAGCAAGTTCATTATCTCTCCTCCAGGCTCATTTGCAAAAAGGAAGATCCCATTTTTTAAAAGTCACAATCCAAAAGAAAACTGTTTTATAAAAGTTTTTTACATAGGGCAATCATATTTCTATTTCACAAAATGAGTGCTCTCCTTTTTATTTGGGAATTTTGATGAAAAAAAAGAAAGTAGATAATGTTAATTTATCGGAAGTTTGGTTTGGTACATAAATACCAAAGAGGCTTTGACTGGATTTTCTTTTGGCCTGCTTAACGTCCCCTGATAGTTGTTTGCTAAGAAGCTCCAAATTTGTGAACCTGGTTCCAGTTGAATTATTATTCACTTTTCACGCCTTGGCTCTGCCCTTCTTTAGTTTTTCATTGTAATATGCCAAGCTGTCGTTTTCTGCGCTGGCTGTGCCTCTAGTCGCAGGTCCTGTGACTGGGATCCCCACCCCCCACCCCCACCCCCACCCGCCACCATCTTGCCAGAGTAGCTGCAAGACGGGCTTTCTTGGCCTGTAGGCAGATGGTGCTGGGTGGGCTCCACCTTCTTTGTTCCCTGAAGGTGAGTCCTTCCCTTGCCAAGGGCAGCTGCCTTAACCTCTGAGAGTCTGCACTTGGTGTTTGTGCTGGAAACCCAGCGTCCAGGGTCTGACCCGTGCTGCTGGAGGGAGCTGGTGCTTTCTGAGCTGGCAGCTGGGGGCGGGGGTGGGGGGAGTGGGCGGCCCTGCTGGATCAGACAAGTAGACGAATCCGAAGACGGTTACTGGCAATAACTCGCCCTGGTTTGCCTCCAAACTAGGGCTGTTGACCGACCCCAAGTCTGCTGTTGGCCTTGAAAATCAAAGTTAACATCACCCAGCTGTTCCATTTCACATCTGATTCAGCCTGATTTTATTTCTCTGTGCTTTTTGCAGCCTTCCTGGGTTGGGTAAGAGAGAGTAAGAATAAGCTGCCAAAGGTCTATGTTCCCCAGCCACCCCCTTCCCCAAGCCCTCCCCCTGAAATCCCTGCCACCTTCCCAGGACCTATGGCACCTCTGGGACCTGAGGCAGCTCCTCAGGAAGCACCTCCCGCTGTCCATCAGATTCCCAGGCCCAGCCCCCAACTGAAATCCCAAGGGCTTTCTGTTGGGTGGCACTGATGATTGACCCTTGCTGACGATAGCGGTAGAACCTGAATCCCAGACCTCCGGCAGGGTTCACACTTCCAAACCTTTTGATTTGCCTCTGACTTCTAATGATTGTATCATATATTTTCCCACAGCCTTTTGGTGACCTAGTTTTCAGGTTTCCGCTTGGTCATTAAAAAAAAAGAAAAATTATTTGTACATCACCGCAGGGACCTAAGTTTAGGTTAACCGACGGCTCGAGCAGCGGCTTTGAGAGGACTCTATTGCATTCCACCAGGAGAGAAGGCTTGTCCGTTGGTTGGGGCCACCTCTTTACCATGTACTGTTCCTTTTCCAGTGACTTGCTCTGGGGGGTGGGGCGCTTGACCAGCTGGTTCCCGTGTTGTACAGTAGATGGGTAGACGTTTTGTATATTAGTGTGTTTTAAGTTATTGATTTGTTTTATATAAAATAATTTATTTTTCAGGTACCATTTTTCATTTTAACTTTGTTTTTACATGGGTTTGTTTTCAATAAAGTATGACACTGCTGTCCAAAAGTCAACAATAAAATGAATCCCATTGTGTTCTTTTGAGGATGCTTATGTAACTAGCTCTTTTTTATTATTTTCAGGGAAAAAAAAAAGCCCTTCTCAGTTTTCCATCTCCCCATTTGCCTTTTTATCCTTGTGAATAAATGTTCTTTAGTGTTTTAGGAGGAAAAAGCAAACCTAGATTTTGATAATCCAGAAGATTTCAGATTAATAAAGAAGCTTTGAAAGAAGACCATTTTTCAAAATTTTAGTGAAGTGTGAATATTTTTTGTCAATGGCTTTCTCAAAGAGAATGAAACTTTTGCACCATTTTCAGAGTTTTTATAGAGATGCCAAATTGATATATTTACATGTAATGGAAACATGAAAAAGTTTTATTAAACAATTGTTCATAGCTGTGTAGACATTTTAATTCAGTTTCCAAAGCTCTCAAAGCGTATTTTTGGAGTACGGAGTGATATCGGTTTGGGGTGTTACTTACGGTTCCAAATGACTCGATTGTCCAAATACTTAGATCTTTCCACAGGGATCAGGTTTGTGTTAAATGCTGTATGTTAACTATGACTGGAATTCTGTGATATTTTGGTAATAAATGAAGTGGGCTCATTGAGATGTGGTGGTGTAGGGGTGATGGTGTGTAATTGTAAGCAGCCAAGCGGAGAGTACAGCGCCGGCCAGGACTGCAGGTGACTTCCTCCTGCCTAGGTAAGCAGCTGCCTTCTGCCAAGCTGTCCCCTGTGTGCCAGGCCACAGAGCCCTAGGACAGCCCAGGCCCGGGGTGGAGAGGGGAAGGCACCGGGACATGCTCGGTGACCCACTGCCTCTGCCCAGATGCGCCCTTCATCTGGACGTCCTCACAAGCCAGCCCCCTCCCCAGGGAGACCCAGAGGCCTCGCTTCTCCAAAGGTTCTCTCAGAGGTTTGTGGGCTTCCTGCGTTGTCCCTGGGCGTTGCCTCTCCAACTGCTCCCCACACCTGAGCCCTGTGGCCGTTCTGAGTATTTTCTGATGTTAATCCCCTTTGGTGATGAGAGAGTGAGCTCTGACTCACTGCGGGCACAACGGAGCACAGGGGTCTTAGGGTCAGAGTCTTTGGTTCGAATCCTGGTTCCGCCCACTCCCCAGTGTGCAGTGCAGGCAAGCCAGT